AAAAGTATACATGCAAACTTTAATATATAAAGTCTAATCATTCTCCACCATGTTCAAATATATTATGTTAATTATTTTGGATATAAGTGAATTTTTTTGTTATAAATTTCATAACTAAATTTTCTGTCTAAATCTTATTAACAAGAAATTAATTTAAACTCAATTAACATACATTTTGACAAGACATTTAATAAAATGTTTTATTAATAAAATGAAACTAATAATACTACAAAGTATCATATTGTAAAACCCTCTTATATAATATATAAATTGGTTTTAATGTTAAAATCCGGTGATTTTTTTAAAGTTACTCGAATCTATGTTTTCTTGAGTTATGATTCTAAAGTGACCGATATGTAACTGTTTTAGTGATAAGTCAATAATTCAGTTTAACAAAGTTTTAATTATGCCATTCAGCAGCATCAGTGTTGACCAAAGTTATTCAGCAACTGTTTTTTAATTGTTGACCGATTTTCGAAATAGTTGATCCCCCTACCAAAAATTATGTGTACCGTTAGAATAAGAAAATAAAACTTAGGAAAGAAATAGATATAGTGAGGTTAGTAATAATAAGAAGGAAAGAACTTTAGAGAAAAGACACGATAAAGCTGGCTACAGACTATAATATTCATTAAAACGACATGTCAAAATTTTCAAATAAAATTAAAAATATTATAGTGTAGATACAAACCTTATTAAAAATACGGATGGAAAATTGAAAATCGTATGATTTTTCAAAATTTTTTGAAAAATTTCTGAACGATTGGATTTTTCGTTTTATTTAAGTTTTATTTTTATTTAAACAAAGAAAAACATAAAATAAGAAACAAATTTCAAATAAAAACAGAAACAGAAACAAAATGAAAATTTACGTTTTTTCTTTGAATTTTTTCATATTGAAGTTTCATTTTATTTCAAATCTGATAGTGTAAAAACAAAGTATATTTTCTATTTGAGTTTTTTGATAATCATACCAATTTTAATTTTATTTTGTTTTGGCAGTATGAAATAAAAATCTAACGACTTCTCTTATAGTGTGCAGGCAGCTTAAGACATTTAATAAAATGTTTTATTAATAAAATGAAACTAATAATACTACAAAGTATCATATTGTAAAACCCTCTTATATAATATATAAATTGGTTTTAATGTTAAAATCCGGTGATTTTTTTAAAGTTACTCGAATCTATGTTTTCTTGAGTTATGATTCTAAAGTGACCGATATGTAACTGTTTTAGTGATAAGTCAATAATTCAGTTTAACAAAGTTTTAATTATGCCATTCAGCAGCATCAGTGTTGACCAAAGTTATTCAGCAACTGTTTTTTAATTGTTGACCGATTTTCGAAATAGTTGATCCCCCTACCAAAAATTATGTGTACCGTTAGAATAAGAAAATAAAACTTAGGAAAGAAATAGATATAGTGAGGTTAGTAATAATAAGAAGGAAAGAACTTTAGAGAAAAGACACGATAAAGCTGGCTACAGACTATAATATTCATTAAAACGACATGTCAAAATTTTCAAATAAAATTAAAAATATTATAGTGTAGATACAAACCTTATTAAAAATACGGATGGAAAATTGAAAATCGTATGATTTTTCAAAATTTTTTGAAAAATTTCTAAACGATTGGATTTTTCGTTTTATTTAAGTTTTATTTTTATTTAAACAAAGAAAAACATAAAATAAGAAACAAATTTCAAATAAAAACAGAAACAGAAACAAAATGAAAATTTACGTTTTTTCTTTGAATTTTTTCATATTGAAGTTTCATTTTATTTCAAATCTGATAGTGTAAAAACAAAGTATATTTTCTATTTGAGTTTTTTGATAATCATACCAATTTTAATTTTATTTTGTTTTGGCAGTATGAAATAAAAATCTAACGACTTCTCTTATAGTGTGCAGGCAGCTTAAGCTGATAAATAAATAAGTTGGAGTATTTACCATTAAAAATGGAAAGGGAAGAGTTTTACATCTTTACTGTTCGAATGTCTCGCCATCTCATTTAGAGACGATGGACTAGTTTAGATGTATAGTACACACATATCAGGGATTTAATAGCAGCTTGACTGTCAGTATAGATTCTAATATCTTTACTGTTCGAATGTCTCGCCATCTCATTTAGAGACGATGGACTAGTTTAGATGTATAGTACACACCTATCAGGGATTTAATAGCAGCTTGACTGTCAGTATAGATTCTAATATCTCTGATATTTCAGCTTGAAGAATACTACATACATTCATCATTGAGTCAAAAAGATATCTTTGTTTTACAGTCTTCAATGAAGATGCCACCACCAACTCTATTCAATACTTTGGATCCATTTGTGTAAACACAGAAACTTGCTTAGCAGAACGAACAGAGTCTTAGAGGAAGTTGCTCTACATTGCATAACTGACTGAAATTTTCTTAAGGTACAAGGTATTTCTCAGTGTTACACACGGAATGACAATTTGATAGATAAACAAACGGATAAAATTCAATAAAATCTGATTTTTGTATTTACTTATTTTTTCCTTTTACTTATTTTAATTTTTTCTGCTACTAAGGGCCAATCTTTAGGTGAAAGATTAGCGATTAAATTAAAATTAAATAGAGGTGGTTTAAACTTAAGAATGAAATGCAAAAGTGTAAACAGCTGTTGTAAAAAAAATAATATAATTTTTATAAATCTAAACATTAAAATGTTTTACTTATTGGTTAGTATAAATTATGAACATTTAAAATACATTTTTTTTGTTTTAAATTTAAGTTTTAATTTTCATATTAAATTTACAATTGTCTTCTTCTTTTTTATAAAACATGCTTTGTTTTGATAACAAACAGTGACATTTTCTGTTGTTTTGTATGACAACACTGCGAAGTTTAATATTTTACTCAAAAACATCAAAGGGGATTAATATCAGATTAAATTTATGTTTAGATTAAGTAATTTGATTATTTATTGGCATTTGATTGCCAACTCAAAAACCCGCTCTAAAAGAACAAATCTAATCTCAATTCTAATAAAAATAATATTTTTTTACGTAGTTTTTTTTTTAGTGTACTTAACTGTGTTTATTTATCACAAGAAAAACAGCTGTTTCAATTTATTTATTTTATTTGAATCACCCTCTGTTTGGTTTCAACATTTTTTATCAATAAAACTCAAAAAAACACGAGTTACGCATTTTTTTCCAATTACTTACCTAATTTTTGTAAAAATATCGTTTCTTCAATTAAATTATTAATAAAAAGTACCAAAAATGATTCAACAACAACGTCAACGTATCGAACAAGCCGTCACCGAAATGATCGATGATATGGATAAAACACATTTACGTAAAATGCAGGTAAATAATGGGGGCGAATGGAAACATAAGTTGGAAATGGGGATTGTTTTGTAACAATTATTAAAATTATCTTAATTAGGGTGCCGGTGAAAATGTTTATTGTTTGTTGTGGTATAATTAGCTGGTGAAAGAGTGCTATATTAGATGATATTAACGGCAGGACTAAAAATATAGCTTTCATAGTAAGACAATGGAAGGCTGGCCTGGTAAGGGTATATAGTTTTCCATAGGGTCATATTAGGTTGGAGCTTCCTATATACGAGAAAAATATGCCTACATACGTGTATATTTGCTGTATCCATTGGCGACATTCATAGAGGCTCCATCAGTATAGTTTTCGCACTTAAGAATTTCTCTATAACTCATTAGGAAACTGCACCAAATTGGTCCTTATAGTGATACGGTAGATCTCGTGCATTCAAGATAGATTTGTTCGTCGAGGGAAGAATGATGTCCAGTTTATTATAAAGTAAACATTGGAAGTTCTTTTAGATATGTCGGTAAAGAGTAGAAGAGCAATTCGATTGATGAAGAAGCAACATTTCCAAGAAAATATTTCGACCAACAAAAAAAGTTTTTAAAGAAATCTTTGAAAACCATAAAAAACGCAAGATTTGAATACAGATTACAAAATTAGATAGGATTTAAACTGGTGTTTTTAAAAGTATATATTTAGAATGTTTTTATTAATGTCCAGTTTTAAAGAAATGCGTCTGATCAGTGTTCATATGTTCCAAACCTGAATATCTTTTCTTTCTAATATTAAAAATCTTTTATTTCTTCCATACAGACAGACATGCATTTGTGTGCCGCCAAATGTTGTCAAGACACCAGTGCCAGTGTGGACAGTGTGCAACGTTGCGTCGATAGATGCTCCCAACCTTTGACCAGAGCCCAAAACTATGTTCAACATGAATTGGGTGAATTCCAAGGCAGACTACAAAGATGTGTAATGGTAAGTTAATTACTTCTGCAGCATATTGGGAATTTATTACAAAAAATGTTTTTGTATTTCAGCAATGTAATGACGATATTAAAGTCAAAATGCCCGCCAATCCCAGTGAAGATGATATTGCCAAATTCACAGATCAATTTGAACGTTGTGCTGTAAAATGTGTAGACAAACATGTCGGCTTAATACCCAGTATGATGAAAACTATGAAATCTGTTTTGGCTAAGGGTCCTGAGGCCATACCACAAGTTTGAATGTGTGTTGTTATCTTTATATCTTCGCAATTTCTTAACTTTATTATTGTTTTTAATTGAAGGCGAATATTTTTATTGACTAAAAAAAATTAAAGTTTTTTTTTCTTTGAAATAAAATCTAACAAGCAGGGCTTGTTTCTTTTATTAGAATAAAATTTTGGATTTGTTGTTAAATGTAAGCTAGAAGATTAATTAGGGATTAGAGAGTTAAGCTAAGCCGCTTGATTAAAATTTTCTTATTTTAACCAAATTCTTGAAAATATTGAAATTTTCACTTGTTTCAGCTTTAAATTTTCAGCAAAATTGTTTTGCCAAAAACTTGATTCTAAATTATGGAACGAATTTCTAAAAGTTTCAAGTAAAATTACAGTTTAATTTAAAATTTGTTTAAGAAATTTGGCTTACAATTCTAACTTGACAATTTCAGTATGTAACTTATTTATTTAAAATTTGTATAACATTTTGTATTAAAAATTTTTTATTCCATAAATTCCTAAAATGATTGAAGATCAGCGTAAACGTATTGAAAAAGCTGTTACCGACATGATACACGACATGTACAAGAGCCACTTGAGAAAAATGCAATCCAATATGCATTTATGTGCAGTCAACTGTTGTGATGATCTCGGTCATCGTCCCACTCTAGAAAATGTACAATCATGTATAGAAGACTGTGCTGCACCCTTGCTGAGGGCCCAAGAATATATACAACATGAATTGGGCCTTTTTCAGTCAAATCTTCAAAATTGTGTAATGGTTAGTTGTACAGGATTTTTTTCACCAAACGCTAACGTTTAATTCTTGATATTTTTCTTTAGCAATGTAACGATAATGTTCGTAGCGATATACCGCTGAATACTCACGAATCGGATATTTCAAAATATCGTTATCAATATGAACGTTGTACGATGAAATGTGTAGATAAATATATTGGTCTCATACCAAGTATGATGCGTTCCATTAAAACAGTTTTAGCTAACGGGCCTAACGATATAAAACAAGCCTGACTATATAATGCATGTTTAATGAATGGATGTTTAAGATCATGAGATTTATTTTTGAAAATTAAAATACGTTACTTTTATGTTGAAGGGATATCTATACAAAAATGTGAATTTTTAGAGTGAAAACATAAACGCCAAAAGATTTTTGATAAATTCCAAAACTTCCACTTTGAAAACTATTTATCATTCATTATATTTGTACAAATCCAATGTGCAAGTTGGCATCTAATTGATAAACTTATGACATTTTTATAAACTACTATAAAAATGTTTAATTACTTTTTTGCTGCTTTTTGAATAAAGAATAATCCAGCTGCATTGCCATTTAATACACACACACAAATATGCGTGTGAAAAATAGTTGCAACTTTTTGCTAATTAAGTTTTAATTAGTCTTAATGCTTAAACAAAAACATTAAAATGACAACTTTTAATAATTATCCTATAAATAACGAATAAATACGCAACTAAATGTTAAACATTTCATTAAAATTTCTACGTTTTATACCAGTATGCAACATTTTTTGTTGACAATTTTTTCATAGTGTGCGAAATAATTTGTTTAGCTAATTATTAAATTAACAAGAGCAAAGTTTTTGTTATACCCTACACCACTATAGTGGGAAGGGTATTATGCGTTTGTGCTGATGTTTGTAACGCATTAAAATATTAGTACTACACCCACCTTAAAGTATACCGATCGACTCAGAATCACTTTCTGAGTCGATTTAACGATGTCCGTCCGACCGTACGTGTGTCCATGTAAACGTTGTTATCAAAGTACAGGTCGCAATTTTCAAGATAATTCGATGAAATTTGGAACATATGTTTGTTTTGACCCAAGGACTAAGCCTATTGAAAATGGTTAAAATCGGTCCATTATTTCAACTAGCCCCCATACAACTGAACCCCCGAAAAGTGCTTTTGAGCTAATAATTATGTATAATATAAATGTATCTCGATGAAAGTTCGCACAACTATGTTTTATACAAGCCTTGATGACCCTGCCGAATTTCGAAATGATTGGACTTCATTTGACCCTAGCCCCCACACAAAGCCCCCTTCAGAAAGTGACTTGAATATCCGCAATTCATTTATTAGCACTGTTATTGGAATGCAATTTAGCACAGACAAATATTGTATATATTATATAAATATTATATACAAATCTATCCAGCCCTTTTTGTCGGGATCGGTCCACATTTGCTCCTATCCCCCATATAAAGCCTCTTTAAGAAAATAAGGTTTTCGCCAATAAATTGTTTTTTTTTTGGTCAATTATGGATCGATCCTCGTCAAAGTTTCTAGAACGATTTTAGTTTAGGCAGTAATGAGCGTCAAAGCCATTTTCTGAAGGGGGCTTTATATGGGGGGTAGGATCAATTATGAACCGATAAAATATGTTCATGTCGAATTACATCGCTATAGATGCTTCTTTTAGACAGTTATAAGCGTTAAAGTCATTTTCTGAAGTGGACCTCATATGGGAGGTAGGGTCAATTATGGACCGATCCTTATAAAATTTTACAATGATATTAAGGTTCCTATAAAATATGCTCAAGTCATATTTCATCGCTATAGATGCTTTTTTAAGGCAGTTATGAGCCTTAAAGTCTTTTTCTGAAGGGGGCCTTATTAGGGGCGAATTCGTGGATTCAATACCAAACAAACTGCATGGACATAGCTAGATCGTCTAGAATTTAATAAGGATCCAGAATATATATACTTTTATGATGAATACTTCGATGTGTTACAATCGGAATGACAATAACAATAAGTATACCCCCATCTTTTTTGATGGTGGTATAAAAATAAATTAAATATTCATAACTGGTGTAGGGTATCATATATTCGGCCAAGCCCGACTATACTTTCTTACTTGTTTTCATTTTAAATTACTTCTGTTTGTGTAGAAAACTGTATGTTTGTGATTTAAAAAGTGCTTAACTGATGTTTATGTTTCGCTTATGTACATTGGAGTGGCCCCGTTTAGATGGAGAAAAATAAGGTATTGATGTTCCTACTGAAGATTTAAGCTTGGTTCATTCTAAGAAACAATTTTTAACATTTTTTTTTCATATTATTCACTTAAAGGAATGTTATCAAATTTTGATATCATATGAAAGGTCTTGAGGGATGTTTTCAATGTCGTACCATCTATATTTGTTCTAGTTCAAAAATATTTAAAATTTTATAATTTTTCAAAAAATAAAAAAGAACAAGTTAGACCGCTATATTCGGCTATGTCGAATCTTAAAAACCCTCCACCAGCAAGCTACTTTTTATTAAAGCCCATTTAACTATATAATTTTTAGATAACTTGCCAAAATTTTTCTTTCCGTATTGAGGATATTTATGCATATGTATGTCAAACTAATTTTAATTAGGTCCAGAAAATTTTATATTAATAGGCCAGTTCGAAAACAAGTGGTATTAAGTGATTGTCAGAAGTATACCTTATATGGGGGCTAAGACAACTTTTAGACCGATCCGGAAAAAAATTCCGTAGAATGGTTTATATATAGAAAATACACATTTATGTCGAATTTTATCTCGATAATTTTGATTGCCAGTGTGCATTTAAGTAATTTTCGGAAATGGTCCTTATATGGGAGTTGTTACCAATTATCGACCGATAAAAACAAATTCAAGTCGAATTTTACTCCAATATTATTAATTAATAAAATATGTGCGTTTAGGTGATTTTCGGAAGTGGACTTTATATAGCAACTATGACCAATTACGGGCCTATCCGGAAACATTTCGTAGATTGTTATATTTGTGTCGAATTTTATCAAGATATCTTTATTTAGTAATGAAATATGTGCGTTTGAGTAATTTTTTGAAGTGGACCTTATATAAGAGCTATTACCAAATATGGAGCGACCCGGAAAAAATTTGGTGAATGATTTATATGCTCACAAAACATATTCAAGTGGTACTTTATCCCGATAGCTTTATTATTCAATGAAATATATGCGTTTAAGTAATTTTCGTAAGTGGACCTTACATGGGAGCCTATCCGGAAAAATTTAGTACAGTGATTCATATTTAGACAAAATATATTTGTGTCGAATTTTATCAAGATAACTTTAATTGACAATAAAATATGTACGTTTAAGTGATTTTCGAAAGTGGGCCTTATATGGGAGCTATGAGAAATAATAGACCGATCCGTAAAAAATTTGGTAGAATGATTTGTATGTATACAAAACATATTTGTGTCGAATGTTATACCTATAGCTTTAGAATATGCGTTTAAGTGATTTTCGGAAGTGGACCTTATATGGGAGCTATGATCAATTATGGACCTATCCGGAAAAAAATTAGTAGAGTGATTCATATTTAGACAGAATATATTTGTGTCGAATTTTATCAAGTTAGCTTTATTTGACAATGAAATATATGCTTTTAAGTGATTTTCGGAAGTGGGCCTTATATGGGAGCTATGAGCAATAATAGACCGATCCGTAAACAAATTGGTAGAATGATTTGTATGTACACAAAATATATTCAACTTGAATTTTTTTTTGAATTTTTCTGTGTTGATACTTATTTGAGGGAGTTATTAATGATAAACTAATTTCCGGGAATATATACCTTTGTATGGGAGCTATGAGAAATATTGGATCGATTGTAAAGATTTTGAACACAATTGATCTTTACCTTAAAAACATATTGTATGAAAAAATTCATAGAAATATCCTTGATATTTTCCTTTGTGTTACACACGGAACGACAAATTTGGTGTATGGTGGTGGAGGGTATAAAATTAACTATTTACAAGAAAACTTCATTTATTAGTCTGATCCTTGATAGAAATCGTTTATGGTTATCGGAAGTGGACCTTATATGGTAGCTATGACCAATTATGTACCGATTCAGAAAATGTTTTCTCTTCTTTTATTTGTAAAATTTTATAAAAATATCGACATTCTAACGGCAGTTATGCACAATAAATTCATTTCCTAGGAATATGTAAATTTGTATGGGAGAACCATGAAATTGTGGAATTGCCACAGGAATCAAGCTTAAGTATAGAAAAAACTGTGCGACGATTTTCATATAATTATATTGCATAGTTTTCGTAAGAATTAGTAAAAAATGAACATTTTGGGTGAATTTGGTTAAATTCTAGGCCGTTTTTTACACAGACAGACGGACATTGCTAAACTGACTAAGAATTTGATAAGAATCCAGAATTTATACCTTGTTGGGTCTCAGATGAATATTTCTTGGTGTTACCAAAGGAATGACAAACTTACCCTCTATCAGGGTGGAGGGTATAAAAATTTTGATTCTGCTCCACTGTGCAATACGTATACTTTATAAGTATTACTTATGTGAATTAATTATATTATCATCAGTAATTGGACTAAACGTAATATGTATTTTATAATTAATATTAGTTGATTTCACTTTTAATTAACTTATTTAATAATATTATACAGTTAAAATCAATGTTAATCGTAATCAATTGAATTTATTTATATTGTATGCTAAGAATGTATTTAGTACATATGTATGTATGTAAATATTTTGTAAATAAATCAGGCATAAATTCTTGCATAAATTTTTCATGCATAAATGCATTTACATATAAGTATGTTTAATGCTCGTTTAAGACATACATACATAAATATTATTTTATTTTTAATTTATTATTATTTTTTGCCATAAAACAACTGCAACAAACAATTTATTATGCAGTTTTTATTTTGGTTTTACGTTACTAAGTCATGTGTATGTATGTAAATGTATGTATATATATTATACAATCACAAAACATATACATACTTATGTATGTATTAGCTTAGTTTGCAAATATGCTAAGTCCACATTTTATACATATTCTAAATAAATAACGCATAAGAAATTAAAATAATTACGTTTGGAAACAAATGTACATAGTATACAATATTAATTTGTCTTACCATCCTATGCGTATGATTAATATTTAATTATTGCAACAAGTATACTCAAGCTATACGTAAAATAGAAATAGAGATAGATAGAGTCCAAACGGCACTAGCTAGTTGAAATTTTGAACAAATAATTGTAACTGCATCAAAAGTTTGTTTGATATTGAAGATGGACAATATCGGTCCATAATTTCACTTAGCCCCCATATAAGGTCCCCTTCAGAAAATTACTATAACGCTCATAATTCGCTTCAAAATGCCAGTATAGCAACGAAATTCGACATATTCGTGTTTTATAGGAACTAAGACTTCTCTGTCAAATTTTATGAGGATCGGTCAATAATTGATCATACCCCCCATATAAGGCCCCTTTAGAAAATTACTATAACGCACATAACTTTCAATAAAGCAACAAAATTCGACATAAATAAGTTTTATCAGTAAATCAGCAAATTTTTTCAATTACTAAAAATATTTTTATTTTGGGATCTTTCGACTCGGAAAATTACTAAGACTAATCAGGTT